AAAAAACTCCTTTTACTCTTTGAGTATTTATAAAATAGTGTGATGCTATTTTAGCCAAATTCCTAATTCTATATCTTAAGAGTGGTTATCTTAAGTGTGAGTTTTAGGTTCTAGATTTTGATTAAGTGTGTCATATCTTAATTAAATTCTAGATTCAAACCCCAAGTTAGGATAAGAGTGTGTAATATCTCTTAAACACCAACTTGGTTTATCCATCCCTGATTTTCTTCCATTTCATACCTCCCCATTTCTCCTCTTAATCTCACTCTTTTCTTCCATTAAAATACCCAAAAGAACTCCCTCATCAACTCCATATATTTCCAGTCCATTCCCCACAAAAACACCCTTCTTCCTGCCCAGAAAACTGTCAAATAATCGATTATTGCTAGTGTAAATCGATTATCCCCCCTCCCAGAACATCCCCAGAAAACTGCCCAAGAACCTGAAGCCCTTAACAATCGATTATCCACTCAGGACAATCGATTATCTCCCCTTCCCTACAAATAAAGAGGTTTTAACTATAAAACCCGGAGCTGAGATATAACATGGGAGGCCCTCGTCCTCGCTGGCTCCTGCCGGTTAGACCGGGAGCGCCGGGTGCGGGCAGGCTCGGTCTCCCGCACCTCGCCTAGCCGGGCGAACGCGCTGACATGGGCAACGCTCTGCCCCAGCCTTTGCTTGGCTGACTTCCTCTGGCCTTCCTCCCTATCCCCCAGCCTTTCGAAGGCGGAGTTTCGGGAGGTCGCTGGCCGGATGTTCTTCCCTTTCTTCTTCTTGTGGGCCCTTGGAACGTCCCACTCGCCATCATCACTCTCAATTAAGACGCAATGACTATCAGGGGTGACTTGCGGATTCGTACCCTGCGGGGGACGCGACGGCCCTGCAGCGTTAAGTGCGCCGGTCAAGTTGACAGGGGCCATGGTGCTGACCAGCTGGGGCTGGAAAGGTGATGGCTGCGGCATCGGCGCCTGGAACGACGTCACCGCCATCGGAGCTTGTAGGGGCATGGTTCCCGCGCCTGGAAGGGCGAATGGGAACATACCAGGGAGGAAAGACATCCCCCCGTTCTGCTGGCACATGGCCATGACCTGGCCAAAGCCCTGGATGGCTTGTAGGTTGGCTGGGTCATTCATGAACTGAGCCATGCTTGGTGGGAACGTAACCCTCGGTCCAGCGGAAGGGACGGGGGTCGCGAAGGGACTGATCACGCTGGCCATCGGGACAGAGCTCAGACCCAAGGGCAACACCGGGGCTGAAATGACCGGTATGGTAGCAGCCGCAGGGATGCTGGTACCCTCGTTGGTGGCATGCACCTGAGTGGAGGTAGCGTTGATCTGTTGGCTGGAAGACATTTCGAGTGGTTTTCTTGTGGGTAGGTTTTAGAAGAGAAGAAACCTTAAGAGTCCCACGGGTGGCGCCAAAAATGATGGTGTAAATTACTTGACCGGTCAAACTATACTAGACCGGGTCTAGAATAGTTTGTTTGATTTGGCAAAGTAAGAAAGGTAAAAACTCGTAGATTGACCGGTAGGACTTTAGGTGGAACACCTGTAGCCCAATTTATATTATAACGGAGAATGCCCGGGTGCTTTTACAAGGGAGTTTAGAGAGAATGAATTCGGATCCCCTTCTTCGAGGGTTACAAGCAGTATATATACTAGGCTGGGGGACAGGACCACGTGCGCCCACGTGGGGGCACGCTGCTGATGTGGTGCGAGGTGACTGGATTCGTCCTCGAGCTGCCCTGTCGCCTTGTGGGGGGGGGGGGAATCACTTCCCTTGTCGTGTTCTGGCTTGGAAATGCTCCTTCAGCATCTCTGCAATTCCAACCACTACAGTCCAAGTCCTTTTGGACTCCTCCTGCCGACACTCCCCACTCTCTAAAAGTTGCACCGGTTGATTTCTGAAGGTTTGGATTAATTGACTTCGGAATTGGTTCCTGCTGATGGAGCAATCTGACCGGTATACTATCCGAGGTATACCGGTCAACTTCTTGGTCAATCGGTCGTCCATTTGCCGAAGATTCAGATCTCTCTTCAAAGTTTGACCTCTTTGACCGGTCAACTATCCGGTCCTGACCTTTGACCGGTTATGGGTGAAATACACCCATCAGGGTCGTTCATCACTTGGCCACACAAAATCCTTGAATCCGGGTAACTTTTTCAAATCGTCAACTGGAAATCTTGCCCCCATCAATATGTGCCTACATAAGTTAGCATATGTACATAAAGAAGTTCAACACATTGGTCACACAATATGCACAAAAAATGAATTAGCTTAAACACCGTACATAGCAAAAAAACACTTGTATTCATTAATAAAATGTTTTAACAAAAGTCAAACATCACAAAAATGTCAAATTAAATACCCTCAACTAGAGTGCACATTAACAGTAAAGTCACAAAACTGGAATTACAAACAATTAAACTAGACTTGAAATTAATTATATCCCCTCTTTTTCATTACATCCGCAATCCTATCTTCAAAATATCGTCGGCGGCCAGGGTGTGAGATAATAGATGTATCTATCATTAGCAGCATATCTTCATCTGCACGAGCACGAGCTTCTTCTGCATACATACGAGCTTGCTCCGTCCTAATGCGTTGCTCTGCCTCCCTTTCTCGAACCGCCGCAATGCGCTGCACTGCATATGTAAGGGCGACCACATGCGGGGGTGGCGTACTGTACTCTCCTTGACCCTTTTTTAGCCTCTTTGCAGCTTTTCTACCCATCGGTCGTTGTAGATTACGAGTCACTGAATCGGTATCAATAGTATCAGTTTGAGTGGCAGGACCTCTAGGTGTGGTTGGGCTTCTGGTTGGGCTTCTTGAGTTACCTGATCCACATGTATTACCAACATCAAAATGCACTGGGGGGAGTTTTGGGTGGAATTTTCAGGACCAACTACTAGAGAATCCCAACATGGCACATTCCTTAATTCGCGCCACCACTATTCTAAATTAAACTTCTTCCCGTATAATGCAACGTAATCCCTATGAGCCATCATAAGAATATCTGATTCATTAGCCCCACTCGGATTTAATCGAGTAATCTTCTCAAAACATGCAAAAAAATTGCTTACTTCTGGTTTTGCCCGTAACCATCTAGAATTGATGACCTTTTGTGCTCTAGGTTTAATATGAGGAGGAAGATCCATATTGTAATTCTCTTCAACTCTTCTCCAAAATCCCCCTGCTTTTTGGTCTGTGCCAATGATCGGATCCATGCTCACATTTATCCAAGAATGGATCAATCGAATATCTTCATCGCGAGACCAATTTATTTGTTGGACAGGATGAGCTTTCCTTTGAGGGAGACGCGTGGTTTGTGTCACGGGGTGAGAGAGAGAGTAAGTGGTTGTTGGGAATTACATTGTGATTCATTGTTTGTAATCTCCCCTTGAAGCAACAATTCAGTGAAGCTTCTAACATCATTCTCCATTTTAACCTACATATTTGACAAAATCAATTTCAATTGTATCATGACCGTACCCCAAAGAATTAGACCATCTCCAATTTTAATTTTAAAACGTGATGGTATCATTTCTTTAGAATGTGATGCACTCACTTTCCCCCAACAATTTCATTTATATTTTCTTACTCCTATTTTTATTCCCTTACTTGAGTGAGAAAAAGGGTGGAAAGTGTATACTGATAGGAGTTATGGCAGTCTTTAGAGGATTTTATGCAAACCAAATAAAACTAGTGCATCAGGTGAACATGTCCCCATTCAATTAGATGTCCAAAAGCCATTGAAGTTTGGAATCACCATGCCATAAAACTAGAAGGCCATGCTCTCAAGAGAGGTATACTGCTGGTTCAACACTTATGGTGACTCTCTTAATAAAAAAATTTAAAAAAGAAGCCTAAAAAGAAGACTAAAAAGCATTGTCCTAAGTCTCATTCTTGGTTTTTCTCCTGCTTGGACTTTCTTTTTTTCATTGTTTCCCAAGAGCTTACAACCTGTGTTGTGTTAGCTATTTGTTTTTTTTGTTTAATTTTTTTTGACAAACCCACAATAGATTATCCTTTTATTGATTTTAAAATGAAAAAATCTTTTTTTGACAAATCCCACACTATATCATCATTTTATCATTTTATCAAACACCTTGTGTGCACTAGGATAAAATTTCACCATCACAATGTAATAGAAGAATCACAATCAACTCACAATACACATTGAGTTTAGTTTAAAAATAGATGGTGCAAGAGACAACCAAATCAATACATTCACATTTCACCAACCCCTAAAAATGACACCTCCTATCAGCAAGCATTTGTTCAAGAGAGCAGTGCAAGGAAAAAAGTTAAAAATGATGATGATACACACCAGAATCATAATCAACTCACAAAGAAGGCTTGCAGATGAGATTGGGGCAGAGAGAAGAGGTGAATTTCAGTGCAATCAAACAAGAGAGGAGTAGCAGGAGTACCTGAGTGTGCGACGAGGGTGGCCGGCGCTGGTGGCGAAAGAGAAAGTGATTTCACGGTGGTTGCAGCAAGTGGTGGACTGCAATTTTCCGGACGAAGACGACGAAGGCGGGTGGGTGGGACTTCTAACAGCCGGTGGCTGCGCCGCTTCTGAATCGAAAAGTCCATGGACATGTGGCGTGTTGTCATTGCCCCAACACGGCATCGGATGTGGTTATGGCCAATCTTTGGTAGACAAGGAATACTTAATTATTTATCCACTTTTAACTTTTTCTATCAAAATTAATAAATTTTGACTTTAAATTAAATAAAAATAATATTATATATTGTTATAGTAATAGTTTTATTGATACAAAAATAGGTTTTGTTAAATTAATTATATGAAATATTTTTAAAATATTATTTTATATAATTAAAATATAATAAATATTTTACTACGTATTTCATTATAGATCAAAAGTTAAAAATAATTAGCTAAAACATTTATTATTAGATAAATACTCATGAATAGAGATAGTATTGATTAGGGACATAGCCTAATTATTTGGAATGGTGAGTCACAAGTTTCTACTATAGGAGTAGTATTTTATTGGTAAAAAAACTAATGTCAATATATCACATAAACATATACAGAGTACTAAATAGAAATTTCATGTTTTTTTTTCTCAAAATATGAGTTAATATATATATATACAATATCATTTATGACATTATTTAATACCAAAAAATATTATGAAATGTTCATACATCGTGCTACATTATCATGTTACAAACTCTTATTTTATATATAAAAATATATAGCTTCTACTTTGTTATTTTTTTCTAGATTTTGGGAGATGGAAGGATTGAAAAGGTTGGAGGTTTCAAGTGAGCTTAAAGTTGGGGGGGGGGGGGGGGGGGGG